CACTTGCATGCGTGTGGTGTCCATGCAAACTCTGAGGGATGCAGGAAGTTTACATCCCACAGATCTTCGCGACAACGTAGACACACGATGAATGATTTTTTTGCTTCACTGTTCTGCTGCAGTTCCTATAATGTCCACTAGATGCAGCTCCAAGAAAATGAGTGAACAAGAAAATCTCAAATCCCCTACAAATACAAAATCATCATCCTAGATCTTCTGACGTCAACCTGAGCACAGGTTTTCAGATCTTAACACGTCAGGTGTCTCACCTGACCACCATCAGCTGTCATGGCCGCTAGTCTCAGTTCATCCCTCCTTTAGCCATGTCATAGGCGGTATATAAAAGGTGGACATAGTGGCTGAAAATCGAGACCAATGAGAAAAGTACCGTAAACCTACATTCTTTCTAACAGCCAGCAGGAGGCAGCGACTTTGCAAAGGGAGCCAGATTGTATAGAAGTCAATGACACAATGACCATAGTTCTTCTCTGATTTGTGACCTCATTGTACAGCTTCCTAATGAGTTTATGGTTTCCTTCTCTAGTTTCAAGACTTTTTGATTGCTATCACCATTCACATGTTTCTTGAGTTCTTAATTAGAACCATGATTGGCTCATTACACCCAGTTTCAGAGGACCAAGATGGCCACAGCCAAATGCCAAACGCCAAACTCAAGGACTCACAGCAACAGTCCACAAACCAGCTGGTGACATGGTCATGGTCACTATGTCCATCTCTCTTATAAACAGGCTATGGGCCATATCAAGATGGTCTTCTTCGCTAACAGTAGCTGACCAAGGTGGTGACCTGCAGGCTTCATGGTTCTTTAGAAACCTGTGAGAGACCTGAGATGTTGTAGAAAGGTTCGATCAGACTGGGATGTTGCATGTGTATGACCAGCACATGTTGTGGTGATCAGGGTGAGGCTGGAAACCACAAAGTGGGAAGTCACAGAAGAACAGTAACAACAAACTTAAAGCAAATGTACAAAACTGTGGAGGAGGTTTATTATTGCAGATTGGTTGTGTTCAATGTGTTCTTTTCAGAAGGAGGCTCCGTCAAGTTGGACCTTGGGAACCGTTATTTCAGAGACTTGTATCATCAAGTCCTGACTGGCTGCAAACCATTCTGCATCTCTGCTGATGAAGTATTTAATCCAGTGGGAAATGTTTATTTGCAGACAGTGGTTTGGCCTGAACTCTGAAAAACACAAATAAAATGTACTTCCCTCTTCATAAGTATTTCAACTGATTTGTGACAGCGCCATTAAAGGTGACTGGGCAGTCAGGATGTTCATGAAGACAAGAAAACATGATGTGCTGAGTATGAACTTGTAGATTAGATGAACGTAGCTGAGCCACTCCCAGGTCTCCTTGGTGAGAAACCTGCGAGTCTCCGACTAAACAGTTCCATGATCACAGCTGGCTTGAAAACAATCTACTAGTGAACTGCAACTCGTGTGTTGGTTTGAGTACATCTGACAGGAGAGTGAGCAAAAGACAGCAAACAGATCAACGGTGACTCCTGTCACTGCTCGGTGGACAACATCTGTCCAGAGCTGACGACATGGAGACCACAGATTGTTTTCTCAGTGACTTGGTTCAGTGTTTTTCTTTCATCTAGTCCACATCATGTGGTTGCTACGAGTCCTCGCTGTCCTCGGTGAGCCTCCACAGGCACCAACAGCAGCACCTGCACAGGGATGAATGTTCTCCTGAACCAGCAGCGAGACTCAGCAAACGTTAACAGAACGTTCCAACAAAGACACAGAAGTCTGAGCAGAACTACTGCAGCTCACTGGCATCCAGCCAGACCACAGAAACATGCTTGTCACCAAGTCCGAGTCACTTCCTGTCAAGATCAACAGAACACTTTCATTCTGGACTCTTTCTGCTGACCAATGATCAAATATTAATAAATGCAACTTTATTGTAAACAGAATCTGAATTCCAGCAGAACTGACTCCTTCCGACATTTGCAATGCTGTTGGGTCCATTTTCTAATCTTAGGGACTGGATTTAGAACTCAAGGCATCTATTATTTCACATCATTAAGCCTTGAAGCAACACTGTCGGGGATGTTCCTTCGTACATGTGAGCACATTTTTATGGCTTAGGGCTGCAACACACCAAGTGCAGCCCTGTGCGATATCACTTCAATGTCAAATCACCTACAATTCAATCACCTCTCAGTGTTCTAAATGGACAAACCCAGTATTCCTTCTTCTAAATGATCAAACCAGACTCTAGAGAGATGACAGTAAATACTACAGGCCTCAAAGCAGAAACTAAATGCAACAGAAGTGAATACACCTGCTGACACACCACCTGTGATCACTTAAAGCACACCTGCACCTTCCCGTCAGTCTGATGCATGAGCATGCTCATAAAGAGCTGTGAACACTAAACATTCTCGGATTTGGACCAATAGCTCCACATGAAAAAGAATTGACTGTGAACTTCATTAAGATGGAAAAGGATACAGGAAGATCAACAAAAACTAGAGGTGGAAGCACAGTTTCAGCAGTAATCAGGAAGTGTAGAATGGTACCATAGCACCATCAGTCAGAGCTGCAGTGGTCGTCGTCCTGGCCGAACCCTCACGCCATGGACGGTCACTACGTCACAATCTGCCTCTGAAAAACAGACGAGTGCTTCAGACTTGACACTAATGGAAGAAGCCCTTGCTTACACTTTGGCACCAAGTTGCCAGATTAAGCTTTGCAAAATAACGTGACAGATGATGGTCAGGATGAATAAGTCCGGCTCAGATGAGGTCCAGCATGTTTGGCGTGAACCTGGTCAGGACCACCACAGTGACTGCATCGTCCTGACAGATATGGGGTCGCAGGAGTCTGACGAAGGGAAACATTCCAGCTTGACAATCCAAAGCAGAACCACACAGGAGTTTCCTACGAGGCTGACCTAGCCGAGTACGTTGACTGCCTTGAACCCAACAGGACACCTTTGGGGTGTTTTAAAGAGCAAAGCAGAGCAACACCAGAATGACAGAACATCTGTCTATGCTGAGGACGACTGAGTCTGACTTCTGTGGCCCTGATTTCTCTCTGTGGGGGCTGTATTCTTAATACAGTACATCCTAACTTGTTGAATTTTACATTTAGCTAAATGCTCTACTGTTCAACTTAGAAATAATGCAGTTACTGAGCGTGGGCACAACGCTGAACCTCTGACATTTAAATGATGCTGCCAGGGCTCTACTCACCTCTGCTGTATGACCGACTGATGGACTAAATATTCATATCATGACTGTTTACGGCGTCCTGTAGTCCCCAAACGGTGCAGTTCCTTTTTAACAGCAAGCATGACCATCATTGTCTAAGCAGACAAATTCACCTCCCTGCTGATCAGACAGAAACCAGATCCCTCAGGATCCGGTTCGTTTGGTTCCTTCCCACCGTTGCCGACTGTTTAGGATCCACAGGCAACTCTGGATTGTTGGCTTCTCTGTTTAAAATTTGTAAGATCTCCATGTTGTCTGAACAGTCTGCCAATCCTGTCTGTCAAATTTCTGCACTGAAATAATCAGATTACATTCTGGGCAGAGTGGAAGTGATGAGAACACATATTATTGCCGAGGCTAAAGGTAGAGGGCTGTGATGGTAAAACACACATCACAGGCTGATATGAGGTGGAACTGCCGCCTGCCTTTAGCACACATCATAAATATCAGTACACATTTCTTTAAAGCGTCTGAATGGAAGCGTATAAGTACTGTAAGCTACAACATTTACATATTCCACTTGAATTCAGATGTATTTAGGCGACCAGAGAACATCAGAAGTACCATCCAATATATGTTTTCTTTTAAAGTGAAATGACTTTGGAGGCATGAGGACTCTTCAAACAGCGTTTATGTTTACCTCGCAAACATGCAATTTTATAAAAACCAATCATATAATTACAAGGAACCGCTCATTTGTCCAGGTCTGTGCAGGAGTCCAACATCCATCCATCCATCATCTACACGCCATTTAATCCTCACTAAGGTTGAGGGGGGCGGAGCCTATCCCAGCTGACACAGGTGAAGGCAGGGAGGAGCTGAACATGTACATCAAAAACATTTAGGCTTCACACAGCATTCAGCCTGCAGCCCAGTAACTGCAGAACACCGAGCTTCAACCTGTTCATCCTCTCACCAAACCGCTGAACCTCAGCTGAAAGTCTGGTCCACAATGTTCAGCAGCTTCCTGCTGAAATCGAATGCTCTTAACAGCCAATCACAGCGTTGCTTTGATATGATGTCATGCAGAAGTGAATTCTCAAACAACCAAAGAAACCTTTGTCTTGACTTCTATCTGTTAACTCTGCAGTAAGACAGTTGACAAGATATGACTCTATTCAACTCAAGCAGTCTGAAATGTGTAGACCTTCTTCCACTGGGAGTGCACAAAGCCAACAGGTGTGGACCCTCCTGTACCTGAAGGCTCTGAGCCAACAGGTGTGGACCCTTCTGTACCTGAAGGCTCTGAGCCAACAGGTGTGGACCCTTCTGTACCTGAAGNCTGTACCTGAAGGCTCTGAGCCAACAGGTGTGGACCCTTCTGTACCTGAAGGCTCTGAGCCAACAGGTGTGGACCCTTCTGTACCTGAAGACTCTGAGCAGGCTTTTTGGATCAGACTTCATAAGAGCAAGTCAAAGCTACCAAATCAAGCCAAGGAACACAGTTTCCTTCATCACAGTGCCAAAGTCCTGTCGAAAACAACAACGTTAAAGCCATCTGTTTTTATTGCCAATGTTCTGTGAGGGTCTGCAGGTTTCAACCCTCCTGAAGACCGAAGGTGCCATCATGACTCTCATGACTCTTGAAGTAAAAATGAGCTTTATCCTCATTCCAGTTTCCGTCTGCAACATCTCTACCAGGAGAGACATGCTCAGAACGTCACAAAGTGCAGTTTTTGTCATCTGTGTGATATCATCATCGACCCTCATCATCAGCTTCACGCTGCAGTCAGAAGCTCTTCTCTGACAGCTGAAGGCCGTCGGTGCAGACACACTCCATGCCTGCTTTAGGAGATACTGTCCTTATCGGAGTCAGGGGAGGGAGGCCGTGATATCTCGAAAAAGGAGCCAGACGACTTCCTGGATTTGAGAAGTCGAAGCATCTCTGCCAGCTGAGTCTCCAGAGCCTCCATGCGACGGTTCAGAGATCTGATGTCTCCTCTTAATTCTTGCTTCAGTTCGAGGAAAGAGGCTTGCATGCTCTGCTCTGGTATTGGACAGAATGCCCTCTTCTCATCAGACTGGACTGGACTCCTCTCCTGTGGGGTTCTTGCTTCTCCAACATTGTCCAAGCGGAGGTCACTCTTTGTGATGCCGCTGTCACAAGAGTCGGTTTTCTTGAGGGACATCTCATCATGAGACTTAGTTCTGTCAGGCAGCGTTTCCATGGACTCAGCCTTGGAGACGCTGCTCCATGAGTCAGCCTTCACTACAGACTCCTTGAATCGTCCCCAGCCTTTAGCTTTAGGTGGCTCTGCGGACTTGCAGCCCGTTAAGTTGCCGTTTTGCGTGATGGGAGTGTGCAGCATGACCCGGCTGGAGGTCTTACATGAAGAGGATGCAATGGAAGATGTGGTGGGTGTGGCTGGGCTCTCAGTCACCATTACAATACTGGTGGAGGCCAGGATCTCTGGACCTCTGGCTGGCTCCAGGTGAGCAACACCTTTCTCCACATCACTGGTTTCCTGACCAACCCGCTCAGCGGCGAGCCGGGCCTCCTTCTGCTGCCTGAAACGCTGGAAGAGTCGGCGGACTGGATGGTCTGGAGGGAGGTTCAGAGGAGCCTCATTCTTCCTCTTCAGCATCTCTTCCTCCTCACGTTTCACATCACTGATCTTCCGGAAGACGATCTGTTAAAACACAGAAAACCAACTTAACATAAAGTCAACCACACCGACAACACCTGCTCTGGTCATCATCTAGTCCTGAGGGGTGCCGCTGTGTGACCGAGCGTCCACAGTCACCTCGTTTAGCAATCTAAGAAACTGTGGTTAAACTGTACAGCTCTGCGCTGTGGTGTGACACAGATCACACATAAAGGATGGATGTAGTGACGTCAGTAGTTTGTGAATATCTGTTGGTGAGATCTGAACCAGCCAGCGGTTCAGGCCAACAACTAAAACTGCATCAGAGGCAAATGGAGACGGGATGGAGATGATTAGGATGAAAAGTCAGACCACCTTTACTTTAGTGTGCACAGGTGAACACAAGCCATCCAGTTAAAATAAGACTTGACTTTGTATTGAACAGCTTTGCTGCGACTCAGGAGCTTCCAGGGAGAACGTTCTGGACCACAAGGTCAGGCACTGAGAATTAAAATCAGTTCTATTGATTTCATTGACTGAAATGTACCAGACTGGTTTACCAAACTGTCAGAACCAACAGGATGATGAATAGGTTCTGTCGGATAATGCAGCCGGTCCTGTCTGTGGACTGATCCGACAGTCATGCAGTCACTCCTGGAAACCCTGAGCTGTGCTGCTTCGCCGGCATCAGGACGTACAGCAGCCAGCTCTCTGACATGTCTGGGATCTAAAAGTCATCCACAGCACTGAAATAAGTCAGGGGTGTCAGAAAACGGACCATGATGGTATGAAGAGTTATCGTAACACATTAAGATACGTTACAGTCATGATTTTATTAAAATACAGCCACAGTATCACAAGAACAAGGAGTCGTGTGTTCTGATACGACGGCATAAATCAGATGACAAACACATGATTCAGCATTTCCTGGCAGCAAACACCTCTCCGTCCCAACACCAGCTTAGTCTGCTGGCTGTGACCCGGCTCATAAGATGTAGAAGTACACAGAGGCTTAATCCCGCAGCTCTCAGGAAGAAAGGAAACTGGAGTTTCTACAAAGTCCATCTGTTAACAGACTCACACATGAAACCAGCAACAACGGAGTTCAAACCCGGTAGGTTCTGCTCATTTCACATTTTACATACCAGTGAGTTCAGCTACTGTTGCAAAGGTTGCTGCAGTTTGACTTTCATTGAAATACGGTGAAAACAGCACCGGCCCGGAGGGATGGAAATGAAATGAAAAGAAACAGGAAAGAGAAGTGAACTGGACCTGAGTGAGTTGCACAGCACTGGTACGGTCCCGCATTTGTTGCAGGTGCTGCAGGAACTCAGGTCACACTGCGCCCGACCTTGCTGTAAATCAATGTGAGTTAAGCTAAATGACTTTAATGCACACTAAAGGTGTCGAGGGACTGCGGCTACATGTGACCTGATGGCCTCTGGTCTGACAGCGTCTTCATTCAGTGTGGACGGCGCAGGACGTTCTCCTCAGCAGCATCAGCAGTATGCTGAACCCAGATCCAATGATTGAGTTCCTGACCTGCTGAAATTGGATCGTGTGGACGGAGCAGCAGCAGCAGCTGGACACTGGAGCTCTGAACGCTGAGCACTGAACGTGAGGAACTGATCATGTTGGACCAGTGCTGGTCCGTTTGGCTACCAGACCACTGCCCTACAATCTGTGTTCAGTGTTCATACAGAAAACCCCTCGAACACTAACGCAGACAGGATGATTGGAATGATGGGATATGGTCTCTAAAACATGATTGTTGCTCCCTGTCGTGTATCAGACGTGGCTGGACTGAACTCTGGTAACTCAGGACGACATTTAAACATGCTGAAGGGTCTCATTTCAACCCAAACTCTTCTATTTTCCTAAACTTACTCCAGTAATGTTGCTGCCTAACCTTAACTGAACAGCAAGTGACTGATGGTAAAGCTTCAGTCCAGGACGCTAACCGGGCTGTCCTGGTGAGGCCCTGCTGCTGCCCCCTACAGGGACTTTGTGGTTCCCTCACACACTGTGTTCACTTACATTGAAAAATATGTTTGTTTCAAAATCAGTTTATTTGAAAAAAGAATGCAAACCAGTTGTACAGCCGTCCTCAGATGTCTTCATCTCCTCCACTGAAGAAAAGGCAGAACTCACAACAGTCCCTGAAATAACTAGAAACTGGGAAAAGTCCTAATAAATAAAAATTTAGGACCAATGAGAGGCCTTTGCTGATGAGCAGTGGACCAATGAGAGGCCTTTGCTGATGAGCAGTGGACCAAT